AAGGGTGAAAAGGAGAACGGAAACCATTTGAGAGAATGGCAGCATGTGAAAGAATCGCAGTATGTGAGAGAATGGCAACTAGTGAAAGAGTGATAAAGAGAGAAAAGTATGACCAATTGTGTCAACCTGTGACATGCTTGACAATATGTGAGGAGAGAAAATGGCACCATGTGCAGACACCATTTCAAAGCAAGAATATGCAACACAACATAAAAAAATCCAAACTCACCATCCATGTACTTATCAACTAATTCCTGATCAGAGTAGAAGATATCACGCCGTGGCAGCTCCGGAGGTAGGTTGTTGACATAGCTTCGCGCTGCACTGCGTCCAAGAGCAGCCAGCAAATACTTCCGCAGAAAACCGTTGATAGTTGTCCACGTCGTTGACATCAGCTCCAGAAAGACCCCGCGTGTGGCAGGGTCAAGGTGCTCGAACAAGACAATCAATGACTTCAAAGCATCCGTTGGCAAAAACTGCTTGAAACCCAGCTCCATTGCCTCCCGATTCGAGGGATAAAACTGAATCTGGTCTGCTGCGTTGGTGTACATCAAGCGCGTTGCCACACGTTTGGCTAGTTCCTGTAAAAGATGGGTTTAGGGTACATAAGAGGTAATACACAAAAACATTGCATTTGTTCAAATCATGAGGGCTAAGGATGGGTTGGAGCCTAGGGTTTAGAACACCAGAGCAAACTAAGGGATGGGCAAATAAAAGGGCTAACAAAGGGGAGAAAAAGTACAAGGGTGGGGAGAAAGGGCAGTAGGGTTGGACATAGAATGCAACATAGAAAGCAGCACAGGTTTCTAAACATTACAACAGCTTAGAACAAAACACCATAAACAATATAAACAATGCCGTATCAACTTTTTCATAATACAATCCCCATGCGAATTTACACCCCATTTCCCCATGCCTCTTTACCATCCCCATGCCTCTTGTCAAGATATACTCACCCAGTAGTCTTCCACATGCCTCATGACGATCGATTTCGCCAGCAGAACGGGACTCTCGGTGGAATCCGAGTCAGTTGACATTGCAGGGTTCACCGCAGGGACGGATCGGGCAATCACAAGTGTTCCTTGAGATGGATTTGACAATCCGCTCGATGGAATTCCTGCCACCAATTCGCGTATCGCTACTAACTGCTCCATCACCTTGCCTTCCAGCGCAAGGAACTCTGCCTTTGACACTCCTCCACTGTTCTGACGGTTAAGACCACTAGGTCCTGCCTGATTGGCCATGATTGTTGCAGCCACTTCATGACTTTTGGTTGTCACACACAGCACCTTCCCAGGATGTGCGGAGCCAGATAACCCTGCGAGGGTGAAAGCGGTGGACAGAACACGGGGAGGAAAGCAAAAAGGGAGCAAGGGAGGGAGTGGGAGGGGGGGGGGCAGCAGCGGGTTTGGGGGTGGGCATGAGGAAGGAGAAATGGGATGGATGGTTTAGGGTTGTGGCTAGGCGGAATAAAGTGGGCAGAGGAGAAGGGGGACAGAGGGGTTGGTTGCATCAAGGAAGGGGGGGATTGAGGAAGTTTAGGGTTAGAGGGAGGAGTGGGCAAATGGATCAAGGATGGGCAAAAGAGGGTAGGGCATTGTTACAAAGATGTTAAATAAAGACAACAATAACAGATAATGTTGCTGAAAATTAGATCTCACCTTTCTCCTTGATGGAGTAGGTAACCTTCTCTTTGCCCTTCTTATCTTTCTTCTTGCCTTTCTCTTTATTGTTGGTCTCATCCAGCTTGCCCTTCCACTTCCTATCCTTCTCCTTTTTCGTCTTCTTGGATGAACTATGCTTCCCCTTTTTGTTGCGACCGCGTCTGCCCTTGTCATGACCCTTCCCACGCGTTGCCTTGGATTTGCCTGCGAGGTGCTAAATAGGTAATATTTAGCCGTTTGCGGTTTTCCAACATCATCAAATGCACGACACTGAAAGCTGTTCACAGCAAATGCTTTTATCCAGTGAAGGGTGAACAATGAATTAGAACACATGACATCTTACTTAGAAGAAAACGAGAATGAATGAACTATGAATGAACTGAGTACAAGTACTAAACCTAATTAGGTTGTACCCCTTATGGGCTACCCCACTATAGCCTACACAATAAGCACAAGCTATATGTTCTGACACACCCCCATAGGAAAAGTGGGGGAGAACAAGGGGTCACAAGACCAGTCAAGCAAAGCAAAGCAAAGCAAGCTCAGGGTGGATCACAAAGTCACCACACATTCCGAGCACAAGTTCAAGGCTACAAGGCCAGTTCACATGCAGGAGTACATATATATAAAGGACTAGACAAGCAAGAGCAGGTGTATCTATATATGCAATAGTACAAGCAAGGTCAAGAGGTGAGCAAGTGAGGCAAGACAGGCACAAGACCCAGCTGGGTGCAGAAGCGCTGATGATCGCAAGGCGCAAGTGCCTTGGTGAAGACATCAGCAGTGTTGGCCTCAGAGGCCACGTACGCAAGCCGCAACTGACCACGCTGCTGTAGCTCACGAGCAAGAAAGTAGCGAAGAGCAATGTGCTTTGTTCTGTGCTCCAGTCTCTGCTCTCGACACAAGGCCAGCATGGCCTTGTTGTCTACGTACAGGACTGGAGGAGAACGAGGCGACTCTCCAAGGTCGGTCAGTAGGTAGGTGAGCCAGCGAAGCTCCTGTGCAGCCATGGCCCCGGCGTAGATCTCAGCCTCACAAGTGGAGCCGAGAACAGAAGACGACCGAGTAGCCCGCCACAAAACAGAGCCGGAACCAAGGCTGAAGGTGTAGCCCTGTGACGACCGCTGCGTAGCCTGGTCGTCAGCCCAAGAAGCGTCCGCGTGCCCAGTGAGGACCACTGGAATCCGCCCTCCAAGCACTAGCCCCATGCCCGACGTACTGCACAAGTAGCGCAACACCCTCTTCGCTGCAGCCATGTGCTCTAGTCGGTGTCTCCCAGGAGCAACATAGCGTGCGAGAATGCTAAGAGGGTATGCAAGGTCAGGTCGTGTGCAGGTCATCAGGTACATGAGACAGCCAACAAGCTCTGGATACGGGCCACTCGACTCTACGGACTCATCCGAAGGCAGAGCTGAGAGCGAGGGGCGAGTAGGCAGAGGAGTGGCCTGAGGCGAGGAGTACGTGAAGCCGAAGCGCTGAAGGACCTGCTACACCATGTGTGACTGAGTCAGGGTAATGGTGCGGCGTGCTCTGTCCCGGGTGATCTGCAAGCCAAGGTAGCTGCGCAGTTCACCCAGGTCTGTGCACGTGTGTCTTTTCTGCAGCTCAGACTTCACGTAGGCGAGTCCAGCAGTGTCAGCTGTGGCAAAGACCAAGTCTTCGACGTACACGAGGATGTAGAACGGCGGCAGAGAGGTGTCGGTGCGCAGAAACAGCGACGGGTCGGCAGTAGAAGGAGCAAACCCAAGAGCCGCAAGCGTAGTCCTTAGTGTGTCGTGCCACTCACGTGGCGCCTGGCGGAGACCGTAGACTGGCCGCCGGAGACTCCACTGGGTACCAGGAGGGAAAGACCCAGTGAAGCCAGGTGGGCGGCGCAGCCAAATCTCCTCGTGCAGGCTGCCCTGCAGGAAAGCTGTGTTGAAGTCAAGAGAGTGCAGCTCGTAGTCACGGTGAGCAGCTACGTGCAGCAGTACCCGAAGAGTGGTCATCTTCGGGGTGGGAGAGAAGGTCTGAAAGTAGTCAACTCCCTGCCGCTGACTGAAGCCACGAGCCACGTAACGCGCCTTGAAGACAGGCGGAGAACCCGGCGGCCGCTTCACCCTGAAGATCCACATGCCACTGACGATGTTCGCCCCAGGAGGGGGGACAGCGTCAACGTAGGTGCCTGTGGACTTCCACGAAGCCATCTCTACATCCATAGCTGCCTGCCACTGAGAGGAGTAGGGACCCTCTATCGCCTCCGCGTAAGAGCGCGGAGTCGGGATGTCAAGTGCATCCGGGTCTCCCTCAGGGGTAAGCACTACGGACACGAGATGAGGTGAAGCAGCTGCCAAGCACTGGAACTCCTTCTGGCTGTCCTCAAGGACGTCCGTGCCAAGGGCACACTCACCCCCGACGGACGGAGGATAGAGAGACTCAGACTCAGCGACAAGACTAGCAGTGTAGTCTAGGCGACAGCGAGCAGCAAAGTCGACGAGCTCAGCAACTAGGGCAGACGCAACAGTTGACTCGAAAGAAGGGTCAGTGACAACAGTAGCCAGGAGACGCGTGACAGTAGGACTGGCAGCACGAAGAGAGTCCGACTCCGGGTCGGCAAAAGCAAGAACAGAGGACTCAGGAGGACAAGGCAAAGGGGCACGCAGAGGAGCAGTGGACGGACGCGGAGACATCCTGTGCGTGCCAGGGACAGGAGGAGGACGCTGACGCGAACCACGACCACTAGCACGAGCAGCACGGACAGGCGACGCAGGGCAAGACGCAGGCTCACGACGCTCAGTAAGACCTCCAGTAGGACCAGTGTAGGGAGAAGGAGCAGGCAAAGGGGAGGTAGGCTACAACTGTAACTGTGACGGGACTGGCTGTGGACACTCTAAAGAAAGAGGATGACCAGTAGAAGACGGAAGGCCAAGAACCTGCTGCAGGAGTGGAACGAAGTACGGTCAAGGCCGCGCGGCGACGCTAGACACAGCAGGTACAGCACCAGTACCCCCAGCAGGAGCACCCGCTCCAGCTGCACCACCAGCAGCGCCAGAACCTCCAGCAGTACTAGGAGTACCCACAGGAGGACCGCAAGCAGTAGTCTCAGCTCCAACACCCTCAGCAGCACCAGCTACAGTCAAACCCGCATGCCCAGCAGCTCCAGTACTCCCAGTACGAGCACGGCCGGGACCTGCGACAGCAGCACGGCGGAAGAGGTGGAGAGAGAGGGTACGGCGAGTATGGGAGAAGAGAGGGAAGGGATGGAAGGGACGGCGAGCAGAGTGGGATGAACGGGAGGTGGAGAGAGGGAGGGAGGGGTGTAGAGGTGAGAGTTGAGAGGGAGTGTTAGGGGTTGCGATGGGGGAGAGAGGGGAGGCGAGAGAAGAAGGTTTGGTGAGATGGGAGAAGTCCGCGGGTGGTGCTCCATGGCCGTGCTGTTGGCTGCAGAGGGGCTTCATTTCCCATGCCTTCTTATGCATGCCCCACTCCCCATGCCCATGCCACATGCCCCATGCCCCACGCCCCATGTCCCATACCCCATGCCCCATCCCCCACGCCCCATTCCCCATGCCCATGCCGCATGCTCCATGCCCCATTCCCACGCCCCATGCCCATGCCCATGCCAATGCCCATGCCCCATGCTCATGCCCCTTCTCCAAATGGTTCGTCATCTGGTGTTTGGATCGCAGCAGTGGAGCCGAAATTCATTCTTTCACTCAACTCTCCTCCACCCCCGCACCTTCCCCACGCCTCCCACGCCCCATTTCCTTCACCCCCCCCCCCCCCCCCCCCCCCACCTCATCCAGATGGCCTGGCCAGGGCTGGTGTTCATGTGGTGCTGGATCAAAGCGGTGGGGCCAGGGTACGCCCTTCACTCAACTCTTCGTCTTCACCCACCGCACCTTCCCCACGCCTCCCACTCCCCATTTCCTTTCTTCCCCCCTTCAAACTACGTGCAGATGGCGCGGCCAGGGCTGGTGTTCATGTGGTGCTGGATCGCAGCGGTGGGGCCGGGGTACGTGCGGCGGGAGGCCATTCTGTTGGGCGCACGGCGCCTGCGCGCGTCCCAGGATGCGGACTACGAGCTGGGGGTGTTTGACCAGCAGCTTGACGACCCCTCCAAGGTGCGTGCGTCTGCAGCAGCAGTGCCAGTGGAAGCCAGGGCAGAGGTGGCTCTAGGCGCCATCCTCCACTGCTGTGTGGGACCGCCCTCTCACTCCATTCATGTCCATCCCCCACCCACTTCACTCCCTTCACTCCCTTCTCTTCCTTATCCCTTCCCCCCCCACACCCACCCCTGTCCATAGCTGTCCGGCATACTTTCCCAGACGCCCCTCCGTCTCTCCCTGCTCTCTCTCGCCATTCAGTCGCAGCTCGCTTTCCCATTTTTCCTATCCCACCCACTCACCCGCCCACCCACCCACCCACCCACCTTTCTTTTCACCCACAGGTGAAGACAGTGCCGGTGGCAGCAGCAGCGGTGCCGGTGGAGGCCAGGGCAGAGGTGGCTCTAGACGCCATGCTCGACTGCTGCGTGGGGCCGCCCTTCTCTCTCTCTATTCAAATGCGTTGTCCTTTCCCCTGCCCAACCCTCCCAACCCGCGGGTGAAGACAGCGCCGGTGGCAGCAGCAGCAGTGGCAGTCGAGGCCAGGGCAGAGGTGGCTCTAGACGCCATACTCGACTGCTGCGTGGGGCCGCCATCTCAGCGCCAGATGGACGGCGATGATTGGCAGCTGCTGCTCACAATCCTCGGTGGCGTGTTCCCATCTGCTGATCCGACTGCGCTGGAGAATGCTGTGAATGCACGCAGGGAGGCCAGCTTGCCTGGTGAGGGGGCAGTGGACGAGTCGTCTGCCTGACTTGGTGCTCTGGTTAGAGTGTGGTTGGTTGTGCGCTGCTGCACTGCTCTTGTGGGAGATTCGATCCGACTGCGCTGGAGAATGCTGTGAATGCACGCAGGGAGGCCAGCTTGCCTGGTGAAGGGGCAGTGGAGGAGGAAGAGGAGACGGAGTAGGTTCTATTCTGATCTTATCTGAAAGCGCTGCTTTGAGTGTGGTTGTGTGTGAACCAGTTATAACTCTGTAAAAGGGCTGACTACCAGTAGTGGCGGTGAGTCGGTCAGTAACGGCAGTGTAGCGGGGAAGCTACACCATCCGGATGGTACAGTAATTGCCTTCCGCTACGCAGGATTTGACCATGATGCACGGGAATGTATGCGGAGGAGGATGTATGCGCGTAGGGCAACGACCTTGACTTGAGAGAATGTAGTATGCCTGGCTGGTAAAGGGGAGGTGGGAGAGTCGGCCTGATTTGATGGCTGTGTTCATTGGCGTTGCTACTGTATCTGCTTTGGGTGTGGATGAGTGGGTGAACTGAACAGGGTTCTTGATGTGAAAGAATGAGAAAATGAATGCACTAGGAAACAGGTGGGTACAAGTAGGAAAACCTAAAAGTGTTGTGCTCCATATTGTCTACCTCACTACAGCTTACACAGACTATAGCATACCTATAAGTTTGACCCACCCCCACAGGCAAAGTGGGGGGGAACAAGAGGTCACAAGACCATTCAAGCAAAGCAAAGCAAGCTCAGGGTGGATCACAACGTCACCACACCATCCGAGCACAAGTTCAAGGCTACAAGGCCAGTTCACATGCAGGAGTACATATATATAAAGGACTAGACAAGCAAGAGCAGGTGTATCTATATATGCAACAGTACAAGCAAGGTCAAGAGGTGAGCAAGTGAGGCAAGACAGGCACAAGACCCAGCTGGGTGCAGAAGCGCTGATGATCACAAGGCGCAAGTGCCTTGGTGAAGACATCAGCAGTGTTGGCCTCAGAGGCCACGTACGCAAGCCGCAACTGACCACGCTGCTGTAGCTCACGAGCAAGAAAGTAGCGAAGAGCAATGTGCTTTGTTCTGTGCTCCAGTCTCTGCTCTCGACACAAGGCCAGCATGGCCTTGTTGTCTACGTACAGGACTGGAGGAGAACGAGGCGAGTCTCCAAGGTCGATCAGTAGGTAGGTGAGCCAGCGAAGCTCCTGTGCAGCCATGGCCCCGGCGTAGATCTCAGCCTCACAAGTGGAGCCGAGAACAGAAGACGACCGAGTAGCCCGCCACAAAACAGAGGCGGAACCAAGGCTGAAGGTGTAGCCCTGTGACGACCGCTGCGTAGCCTGGTCGTCAGCCCAAGAAGCGTCCGCGTGCCCAGTGAGGACCACTGGACTCCGCCCTCCAAGCACTAGCCCCATGCCCGACGTACTGCACAAGTAGCGCAACACCCTCTTCGCTGCAGCCATGTGCTCTAGTTGGTGTCTCCTAGGAGCAACATAGCGTGCGAGAATGCTAAGAGGGTATGCAAGGTCAGGTCGTGTGCAGGTCATCAGGTACATGAGACAGCCAACAAGCTCTGGATATGGGCCACTCGACTCTACGGACTCATCCGAAGGCAGAGCTGAGAGCGAGTGGCGAGTAGGCAGAGGAGTGGCCTGAGGCGAGGAGTACGTGAAGCCGAAGCGCTGAAGGACCTGCTACACCATGTGTGACTGAGTCAGGGTAATGGTGCGGCGTGCTCTGTCCCGGGTGATCTGCAAGCCAAGGTAGCTGCGCAGTTCACCCAGGTCTGTGCACGTTCTTAACGGGAATGGAGTGTTGGCCTCGCCCTCGCTTGGGCAACGCCGACGACTTGGTCGGATGCACGGGAGTAGCAGCCGACTGTTCACAGTGGGATAGCTGCTCGACAGGTTACGCCGAGCGGCAGCGGACCGCTGTGGTGTTGCTGTCGACCAGGTTGCTCGACAGCTGCAACTGACTGACCTGGGCGATGGGTGAGCCGTCCGGGAGGTCGACGAAGCAGTCCGTCGACCTACAGTTCGACGGGGAGGTCTACGGAACATCTCGTCGAACTGCAGTTCGACCGGGAGGTCGACGGAGCAGTTCTGGTCGACGGAAGGGGTCCGTCGACCAAGGGGTAGCTTGACGGGAGGTGTGGTCGACCAAGAGCATCCGGTGGTCGACCAGAGAGACCCAGTGGTCGACGGGAGGCACCTGGGAGTCGACCAGAGCACCAGGGGTCGACCAGGTCGACTGGGTAACCTGCTCGACGAGTTCTGCGGAGGCACGCGAATGCCGTCGAGATCGCGATGGCGCAGGCGACTTCGGGCTGGTATCCCGAAGTCGATGTGGCTCGTCAGGCGCAGACAACAGCCGACGGATGCCCAACGAGGCAAGTTGGACCAATCGTCTGCGCACACCTGCGAGCGCGCGCACTGCTGTGTTCTACGGGGCACGCCGTCGACCTGCTTTGTTGGCAGGTCGCCCTTCTGCAGTGCTGGCGCGGCTCCTCTACGCAATGCTGGCAGGCGGTCGACCGAGCTGCGCTGGCAGTCGACCAGGCTAGCTGCAGGGTTGCTAGGTGCCTGATGTAGTCATCGTTGTTATTGCTTCTTTGATTCAATTCTGGAATTCCAACTTTGCTAGTGGAAACTCTTGCCAAATTCTTCCGTGAATGTGCAAGCTCTAGGGAACCAAGCAAAGCTAAGATCACCCCTAGTAGTTCGTGCCAACCCCTGTAGTCTAGCTCACTACCGTTGTAGAGTGAATCTCCGCATGGTGCGGTGAGTGTGGAACGAACACGCGACCTTCAGATAGGAGCCGACTTTTGCACCTACTAAGTCTTTCGTAGGCCGGCAGCAACGATAGTCGCCATGGTCGACCCCGTAGTTGATGCGGGTATAGCTGACACGTTGGAGGCACGTTTGGCTGACGCGAGGAGACGCCACGCGAATGGCGAGTACGGGACGATCCCCTTAGTGATCGCCGAGTTGGGCATCCGGTCGCAGTGGGCGACGGAACATCCTTCCCGTCCTGCTTCTCCTCGACCGGTGCGCAACGAAGGTGGCGTCGACGACGAGGTCGACGGTGGTGCACGAGTCAGCGGCAGCGAAGGCACGAGGCATAGAGGAGTGATCAAGGTCGACGGTGGTGTCGACGGAATCCAGGCGCGAGTGCAGCGGTCGACGGCGGCTGCAGGCAGCTCGCACGCCGACGTCGATGTTCGACGTCGCTCCCCTCTACAAAGTGGTGGCGGGCTCTCGGCGACGACGCATGTGACTGCGGGCGGGATTGCACCGGCGTATGGCTACTTCAAGTTTTCGCCGGATCGGATCACCGTCGCTCCGCTGCAAGGTCGACGGGACCTCATCACCTGGAGGGAGTCGATCGAACCTCAGCTGGAGGTCGCCGGGCTGAAGGGCTTCGCCGACGGCACTGTGCCAATTCCGCCCGAGGATGATGTCGGGCTGCGCGGGGAGTTTCGTTCTGCTCACCTGCTCACCTTCATGGTCATCTCGAGGTGCTGCTCGCCGGTGGTATAGCTGGCGCTCAGGAGCTGTCGAGAGCGACTGGATGCTGGTCACCAAGCATGGCGCTTCATCATATCGACGTACCAGGTCAGGGACGACCTGTACATCGGGCAGCTGGAGGAGAAGATGACTCACATTCGGATGGGCGAGCAGGAGTCGGCGACGGATTACTGCAACCGTGCTCGACGGATCCTGGCTGAGATGCGAATGGCGGGCGCTGAATACTCGACGGCGTCCTACATCACCCACATCGTCAAGGGCTTGCCGCGCAGCTACAATCTCATGAAGAGGATGATGATGGTGCCCGGCACGCGTGAGTCCCTCGACGAGGACTCCATCACCAGCTACATTCTCCAGGATGAGGCGATGCAGGAGGCGGAGCAGCCCACGGAGTTCCTTCCCCAGGCGAGTTACGCTGCACCGACGAAGTCGAATACACAGCGGGAGCAGCGCGGGATGCCGGTCGGAAGTGGTAGCGGAGGTGGGCGGTCGAAGAAGGACGTCGACGAAACGAGGTCGACGCGGGACAAGGGTCGACGAGGTGGTGGTCGGCGGCGGGAGTGCTGGGTCTGCGGCGACCCCGACCATCTCTCCTTCGAGTGCCCCGATCGCGATGAGAGTGACGAGGACGACAACAAGGAAGGCCGCGGTCGATCGACCAGTCGTCGCCCCCGTCGAGCTGAGAAGCCGCGCAAGGAGAAGCAAGCGTCGAAGAAAACGCCCTCGACGAAGGACGTCGACAGCTCCAGCGGCAAGAGCCGAGGCGACGGGGAGGCGTCGTGCTCGATGGTCGGCGTAGTGGAGCCGACGGTCTCGCTAGCACCGGAGGCTGGAGAGGACTTCCAGGCGGTGGCAGCAGCTGTGCAGGCCAACCCGATGGCGGTGCTGCTCGACAGCGGGTGCTCCCACCACCTGATGGGGACGAAATCGGTCTTCGTTAACATGGGGCCGAGCGATGGGGTGAAGCATGTGCGTGGGTTCAACGGGGCATTGCAGCCTGTCGAGGGTCGCGGAACCGTCGCTCTGCAAGGGGAGGCCGGGAAGCGAGTCCTCATCCCCGACGTACTCTACGTTCCAGGCGTACAGGCAAACCTGTTGTCTGCTGGCCAGCTGAAGGAGAGCGGCGTGCTACTGCAGGGCGATGGCGATGAGATGCTGCTCGTCGACGCGACTGGAGAGGTGCTTGGTCGAGCACGCTACACCGGACGGGTCCTCTGCACCGACCTTCGCCCCTGCCCGACGCAGTTGCAGTCGACCGAGGTGGTGGCTCTGCGGACGATTACCTCGGCGACGAAGACGACCCCCGATAGGATGCATGCGCGGCTTGCCCACGTCAACGTCGACACAATCAAGAGCTCGGTGAAACATGATGTGGCTACTGGGCTCGACATCACGTTGTCAACCGGAGCAGACCTGCCATGTGTCTCGTGCGTCGGAGGAAAGCTGGCGCGGCACACCTTCCCCGCCAAGGGCTCGGATGCAGCGGAGGCGCTGG